GTAGGGAGAACAAAGAATATATATATATTCTCATTCTAAAAATAGGCTGGAGAACACATCTATAATTTTATCTTGTCTTCCACAATTGGTCCTCTGGTGACTTTATTCCACCATTAAACATCAATATCACACTAACTCTTGGTTGAAATTTTTGACACTGTAGATATAATTTTATCCCATAGGGAAACCATTATCTAACAATAATGATGTACACTGTCTGCTCATGTAGCAAATCCAGGACAAGCAATGGTGAACTGACATGTCTCCAAGCAAGTGCTTTCCCATGCATTCTCCAGTAATGTCGTATTGGTGCTTTGCTGCCAGCTGCCAATCCCTTTGGCAAAGCAGGGGAGGGATGTTCTTAGGGTTCGAAGAAGCAAAGGAAAAATAAGTCTGGATAAGAATGATCGTGCATGAAGAAAATGATGTAGCAGGAGGGATAAAAGGATGACGGGATTGGCTTGCTGCAGGGTTTGAGAAACTCAGCATGGCACATTGCGTTGGACCTAATAATGGATCGGTGTGGTCACATGAACATTCTAGTATTTCACATAATCCAGTATCACTTTTGAAAACTTAGTTAATTTGGTTGAACGAAGGAGGGCTGGTGGGTACCCTAAGGGTGTGTTTAGTTGAGGAACCAAATGGAATGGAATGAAATGGTTCCATTCCAGGAGAACGGGTCGGTTCCATTCCTATGTTTGGTTGGAGCTAAAAAAATAGAACGGAACGGTTACGTTCTTGTGTTTGGTTGGAAGACATTGAATGGGACAAAATTGATTCCACTATCTCTTTCATATGGATGGCGAGATTATCTCCCATATAGATGGTGTAGAATCTGAAACAAATACAGCCTTTGCAAACTGAAAAACATATTATGTGAATTTTCAGCAACATATTTATTTTAGTTTTCAGCACAAACAGTTAACAAAGTGCATTCTTGTACAAACAAACATTTTAGAACTAGCCAAACAATATACATCCAATCCGAAATTTACATCAGCGACATACTTAACGATGTATTTTTCATTCTGTAACATACGTACATTGTACTGTGTTTAACAAATACAGAACCATCTGTACACTGCTTGCTGCGGCGAGTTGCAGAATTCAACAAATCAATCCGTCGCTTCCAGCGCTGCCTGCCGGCGCTGCATCCGCTGCTTGTTGTCGTCCTCACGCACTTGCCCATCTGAGGAAACAAAAAGGAAGGAGAGGCTCGAACTGCGGATGGACGAGCAGACATCCCGAACGGACGAACTAACGAGCGAACCATGAGTCCGCCGGAATCACACCTAGACCGCCGCCCCACTGCAAGAACGCCGCCACGCAGCTCCAGTTGGAGGGAGGAGGGTCTTCTGCCCCGTCCGTGACTCCCCTGTGGTGCTGCAGATAGCGAGAAAAGAAGAGTGAGCCGGCGGCGAGGATTCGAAGGAATCACGGCGGCGGAGCAGATCAAGGAGGGAGAGAGACGAGGGGAGGCGGCGCAGGTGACGGTCGATGGGGTTTGCGGGAGTGAGACGAGGGAGACGGTTCCTTGTCGTCCGCTCGATTTAGAGGTTCCACTCGGTTCCGTATCTGGGCCGAATATTCGGTCTGCGGGAACGAGTTGGTTACCGTTCCATCCATGAACCAAACGCGAGGACTAGGCCCAGGAACAGGTCCGCCCCGTGACATTCCAGTCCATTTCAGAAACCAAACACACCCTAAATGTTCAAAATTTGCATCCCTACCGCGTGGCATGTGATCACTACACTCCAGCTTCCTCATCTTTGTTCTCCGACTCCTCTCCCTCAACGTTACAACTTTGCCAGCCTGACCGTCCACTGCTGTCCGTGGTCATTAGCCTTGAGGCAGGGCGCCAGGTCCCTCAGGGTGACAATGTTACCCGTATGACTCCCCGTATGCTATATGGTGTGACCATCACCACCCAAAGTGGGCGCCATGCAGTAATACATTGGAAACATACGTACTACTCCCTCCGTTCCTAAATACAAGTCTTTTAAAAGATTCTACTATAGACTACATACGAATCAAAATGAGTGAACCTATACTCTAAAAGGTGTCTATATACATCCGAATATAGTCGCTATAGTGAAATTTCTAAAAAGACTTACATTTAGGAACGGAGGTAGTATATTTTAATGATAAACATGATCAGGTCTCCTATCCACATGACATACGACATAGTACATGCAAGAGCTCTTCACACAAAGACGGGATAACTGAAGTCTCTGCTAAATTAGTTGATATGTGATCTAGTAGAGCAATACTATTACTACAAAGGCAGGGGTACATCCTCCTTTTCAG